ACTAAAATAATGTTTCTGAGAGTGCACGGACGGGCAAAAGTAGTAAGCTGATAGAAAAGAATAACTGACTTCAGTGACAAACGTCAGACCGACTTTAATTGTCATTTCTGACTTATTGCTCGTTATCGGCCAACCATAGGGAACCCCAGGTGTTGCAGTAGTTCAGTTCAGTTTAGTTTTATTAAGGAAGGATAGTGAAATGCCTTTACGATCCTGTTTTGCTGATGCATTGGCTGTCAAAATGTATCGATACAATAGAATAACTAAAACTGTTGTCACTTACATGATTTCAGGCGAAAAGCGAGTTGTCAGGGTAGGAATAAATCATAGGGCAGCCCAATAGTAATAGGAGTTGCTTAAATATTGTTATTGGTCTATCGGCTTGCTTTTCTAACCAATGGGAATGCTCGGTCTATAGGCTTCTATGGATAACCAACAGGTCTTTCACTTGGCTTTTTTTCTTTTAGCAACCTTTTCAATCACATTCTGGTTTAGTAAAACAGTTACAAGCTTTTCTATCTTATTTTCTTATGCACCCTTATTATGCATTAAACATGCGATACATGTGCATCACTCAAGCATCAAACAATCAACCACGAATTCCCACCAACACTTGGGCTGGGAGACTTTTGCCAATGGGCAGCCCTACGATGTATTCCTACCGCCGTCAGTTAGTGTAACATAGTAAACACACGCGGCAGCCTAATAGTAATAGGAGTCGTTTTACTAGTGTGCTTGATCTATAGACTTGCTTTTCTCACCAAAAGGGATTCTTCTACTGGTTTTTCTGGTCTATAGGCTTCAAGTGCTTTCAAAAAGGATTTTCTGTTGGTCTTTTTTGCTTTTCAATCAAATTTTAATGCAGTAAGTCAGTTACAAGCGTTTTTCTCATATTTTCTACTGCACCCTTTTATGCATTAAACACACGATACCTGTGCATTAATTAAGCTTTAAACGTTTAGTCACGAATTCCAAAAGACACTTTGGCTGGAAGACCTCTGTCATTCAGCAGCCCTACGGTTTATTCTCACCGCCGTCAGATAGTGGAGAATAGTAAACACACATGGCTACTCGCTTCTCAGGAGTAGTATTAATATATAAGTAGGGTACATGGGCTCATTGGCGATGTCAAATGGCACGAGTCGGTAGGTGGCACAAAAGCAAAAAACAGCAGACAATAAAAAATTCATTGCGCATTTTTCATGAACTACAGAATTTTGAATGATATTTTAGGGTTATTAAGGAGAAAAAAATGTCGCTCATGGGAGGAAAATATAAGGGAGTTAGGGCCATCTTGCTGATGGAAATGTGTGATGCAAGACAGGGGAGACCATCGTGGATATCGTGTGTATACCAAGGGTTTCAACGGAGAGTTGACCGTTGTTATCACAAGATCATCAGAAAATCACGGAGCTAAGCCTGTGATGCGCTCTTGGTGGTTGCCGAGTCTGCTGACAGGGTGATGAAAACAGAAGTATCCGCCACGATCGTCAATATTCCGTTGCGGTTGAACATAAGCCAGATGAGAGACTCGAACTCGCGACCTGCTCAGAAGAAGTTCAGGGCTCTATCTACTGATCCAGTACCTTATTGTCCTGCCTTTTTCGCACAACGCAAGCCTTAATCTGGCGATTTATAGATGCCTGCATTCTCCCCCTCATTCTTTACTGCTCTCCAGTAAATTTTCCAGCTTTACTTAAAAAGACCTGGTCACTCTTAAACGTATCCTCCGAATGCTCTTTTCAGTTGTCGGTGTTTTCTATGTTTTTACCTGACATTATAGTACAGCGCCCCTATAAAACGGTCAAGCAATTTGCTGATCGCATCCTTGGTGAGGTTGCTCACCCTCTCCACTCTGAACTAATGGCTGCGAAGTCTT